GCTTGGGCCCTCTGGAGAGGATTCTCCACCACCTACTCTCCTTGTGTCCTGGACAAGGAAGTCCCAGTTGGCTCCAAGGGGCTCCCCAAATCACACAGTCCCCTGCATCTCACTCCCAGCCACTGCCAGGAGGCAGGCTCCCGAGAGTGACCCAGTGAAGTAGACACTGTCCCTGCCCTTATTCCCTTCATCCTTCTGCCCCACGTCCTGGGCACAGAAGGAGACAGACAGGCCCATCCTCACTTGCCATCCTACTCTGTGTGGCAAACAAAGCAAGCCACACTCCAGGCCCCTCCTGTCCATGCAGTCGTGTCCCATGGCTGTCCTGGGGGTCCTGCTCCTCTGAGCCCCATGTCCAGAATGGGACTTCGGGCCAGGACCAGCCCTCGGCACCCAGAGCGCCACCAGGGTTTCCCAGGGATCTGGCCATGTGCTTTCTGCCCCGGGTTACTACCCTGTGACAGGAGCCCCAAGTTCTCTGAGGACTGAGGGTCAGGCACTCAGGGAGGGGTGGGAAAGGGCATGCAGAGAGGGAAGACGCTGATGGAAGTATGCAGCCCCTTTTCCCTGGGCTGCAGTTCACCACCTGTCGGCCAGGTGATTCTGCCACCAGGCACCGAGGCAGAGATCTCTGCAAAGCAGAGGCTGAAACCCCGGGGCCTCTAGATATTCAGACAGATGTGGTCTGGACTTCTAGAAGAAACCTTCAGAGAACAGCTGTGACCCTCAAGGATTTCCCACGGCCAGTCAGCTGCTGAGAAACCAAAGGACAGGCAGGGTTGCCCCAAGAAACCCCATCGCTCAGGGCCCTGCACTACTGGGATGCAGCATCACTTTGGCCGCTTATCAAAGCTTCTGCCCCCCTCGGATACCTGTTTTTGCGTCTGTAAAATGGGCGCCACCACTCTGCCGGCTCTTTACTCCTCTCTCTCTTCTGCCTGCCATGCGTTCCAAAAGCTCACTGTGCTTTTCCAGCACGGCTGCCCTAGGCCCGCACTCTGGAAAGGCTGCTGAGAACACAACTTGGGTGTGTCCTGCGGGCAGGGATGCACTCACCTAACACCACGGTGCCCTCCAGCCCTTTTCTGAGCTGACCCTGCCCCATAAATGGAGACCTCCAGACAGTACCCTTGCCCACTGCCCCCTGTGCTGTGCCCAGATGGTACCAATCCATTGACCAAAGCCCAGGCAAAAATGTCAATGCAAACATTGTTTTGCTAGTGGGAGGCTGAGCTTTTGCTGGCCCAAGCAGGAGTCTGACACCCAGCCATGCCATCCTCTATTTCAGCTGGCACCGGTCTGCTCAGTGCCTGTGTGCCAGGCATGTTATAGGCCGGAAGGCAGGCAGTGGGCAGACAGCAGGGTTAGCCATGCTGTCACCCCCAGGGTCACTACCTGTCAAGGGCATCTGCACAGACACGGCCTTGAAGATCCACTCGGCAAAATCCTAAAGGACAGTCGCCCCAGCAAGGACGACGGGACAGTTCAGCCAGGTCTGCAGGCCTTGGTGAAATGGCAGTGCCATCACTGGTCAAAAAGTGAAGTCCTTTCACATTTAAGGGAAAAGAGGAGGTTGAGTTTCCTACCAGGCTCAAACGCAAGGAGCGAGCAATAAATCAAGAACTGAAAAGCAATGTTTTGTTTCAAACTAAATTTTTAAGCCCACAAAACAACTGCACATTAAAATCCATCGGACGGGGAAAATCTTATTAAGAAACTTCAGGAGAAATGCTTTGCTATACATTAGGCTTTTCTGCCAACCAGGATAACTCAGTAATTTCCCCCTGACATCCTTGTGATGGTGTGTGTAGGGGGGGGAGTTCGATGCTGTGAAGTTGGAAGCGATTTGTCTCCAAGGAAAGATGAAGAGCCCACAACCAAGAGTAGAGGTGAAAGAACCGTGAGGAGCTCCTAGCAGCGGATGGGTCCCTGGAGCCCCAGTACCACCAACAGGTCTGGGGCGGCTTGGAGAACTGCAGCACAGGGCAGTGATCAGGAGACCCGCCAAGGTACATCTCGAGTCAGAGGATCGGCTAGGGCTTGGGAAAGACTCGGGTTTTCTGGTGTCCAGGCTCACAGTTTCCCCCAACTCTGGAGAATCAGATCTGTTCTCAGGGTGCAGACGTTCACTTTGCAGCTTTGCGGGGAGGCTGTTCGCCCTCCCAGACGCCCGTGCTGTCCACAGCCCCTGCTCCATGTGCTATATATCTCCCTCACAGCAACGTGGGGGCCTCCACCCAGCCCTGGCCCCGCTGATCTCCTCCATAAGGTCCAACGGAGCCACCACGCCAGGCTGACGGGCTGGTCAGAGTTACTCTGGTATCTGGAAGAGGGAGAAGGGAGGGCGCCAGGCAGCGCAGGGATCATGCAGGACCAGGCACAATCGGCCAGGCCACTGGGCAGTAGCCCTCAGAAAAACTGTAGGGGAAGGGAACAGGACAAAAGCAAAGGACCCGAGCCCGGATCTGGACAGGACAGGACACCAGGTCGGCCCTGCCTGGCTCTAAATCCCGGTCTGTCTCCAGCAGGTCATTCAGCCTCTCCAAATCTTGCTTGGATGTCTGTAAAATGAAGGTAAGGAGAGTACCTTCCTAAACAACGTGACGGTGTGTGGCACAGAAGCAGTATTTATCAGTGTCTGCAAGGGCACGGGTCTCCTTGTCCCCCCACTCCAGAACCGCCCCTTTCCCAATACTCCCCGAGTCTCCAGGGACAAGATCACAGGACGGCAGAAAGAGGTCAGAGGGGAAGTAAGTAGGGGAGTCTGGGAAAGTTTCCATTTTAAGCAGCTGTCCTTGCGCCCTGCCTGCCTTGTGGGGCAGAAAGGTCATCTCACCCCACCCTGCCCGAAGTTTCTTCCCTGAGTGACGGTGATGTCAATTCCTGGGTGTAGCTACACTCCGTGCTCTTGACCCCTTTGGGGTTCAGGCTGCCTTTCTGTGGCACGGCCCTGGCCTTGACCAGCTAGCTACAGGGGTGCAGCACAGGCTGCTTGCCACCCATCCAGGCCCCAGGTCTCAGGGGTGGATGTGTGAGTGAGTCAGGGGCTTTCTGGAGCCCACATCTTTGCAGGAGCAGGGGAGGGCGCGGGGCTGCAGTACTCCCAGGGGACTCAGCCCTGCTCCAGGTACTGGGGTGTCCCTAAGAGTGGAGGTCAAGGACAAAGTCAGGCGTGGGGAACTCTGCCATTCTCTGAAACCAGGCTGGGAATGCAGCAGATGTTTAATCCATATCACTGGATTTGCTTGGAAATGACAAATACTAGCCCCCAGCACAGGCAGGGAATGTCCAGGTTCCCAAGGTGCTAGGAAAGCACCTCGGGGAGACCCACTGCCCCCTCTGCAGGGTGGCACAAACCGGGCGGAGCAGGGCTGCAGGGCTCTGGGGGTTCGGAAGCCTCAGCTCCTCCCACTCAGGAGCTGTCCGACCTTGGGCAAACGGTTGGGCCTCTCTGAGCCTCAGTTTCCCAGTCCCGAGGCGGAGGCGTCCTCTCCGAAGCCTGCCGAAGCGTAACCGATACAGCACCTGGGGCGCTCCGAAAGGGCCGGTCTAGTGACGAAACCACCGGGGAAACCCATCGGAAATCCGCGCGCCCTGGGAAGCGGGGGTGGCGTGGGCCGCCCTTCCCGGAGCCGGGG